GTGTCTCTGTGTCTCTGTGTCTCTGTGTCTCTGTGTCTCTGTGTCTCTGTGTCTCTGTGTCTCTGTGTCTCTGTGTCTCTGTCTCTGTGTCTCTGTGTCTCTGTGTCTCTGTGTCTCTGTGTCTCTGTGTCTCTGTGTCTCTGTGTCTCTGTGTCTCTGTGTCTCTGTGTCTCTGTGTCTCTGTGTGTCTGTGTGTCTGTGTGTCTGTGTGTCTGTGTGTCTGTGTCTCTGTGTCTCTGTGTGTCTGTGTGTCTGTGTGTCTGTGTGTCTGTGTGTGTGTGTTGTATGTGTGTTGTGTGTTGTGTGTTGTGTGTTGTGTGTTGTGTGTTGTGTGTTGTGTGTTGTGTGTTGTGTGTTGTGTGTGTGTGTTGTGTGTGTTGTGTGTATGTGTTGTGTGTGTGTTGTGTGTGTGTGTGTTGTGTGTGTGTTGTGTGTGTGTTGTGTGTGTGTGTGTCCCTGGGCCCTTTGAGCCGAGGGAGGGAGAAAGGAGGTCCCTGCGCCCTTTTGGGACCCTCTTCGGCCTCTCTGAGGCCCGCGGAGGCCTCGCGGGAGCCCCCGCAGGCATCGACCTCTGGAGACCCCTGGAGGTTCGAGGCTCGACATGCTGCTGCCTTGGCCCGCCGGGGCCCCCGCTGCGCCGCTGCTGGCCGCGCCGGCGCACTCTGCATGGAATGCTTCCGCGTCTGAATCGGGTGTACACCTTAGGCGATGCTTAAGAAAACCTAAGTTTTCGGCCAGAGTCTCGATTATTCTTAATGTTTCCATGTAAATCCTAAGATTTGAATAGACATTCTGTTTTTTTTTTTTTTTTTTTAATTCTGAGACTATGAATTTCTTAACCCATGATTTCTAAAGCATTTTGCAGGGTGTAGCCAGGACCCCGGGTAAGGGGACCCGGTTAGTAGTAGGGCCTTGGAGCATTTAAACTTCGGTGGCGGAAAAGATGGGGGTGATGACCAGGGGGGGGTGCCCAGATTTCATGGCGCCTCTTCTTATTTCATTGCGTCCCTGGCCCCCCCGCTGGGCCGCGCACATGCCGCCGGTCATGGTTTGCACCCCCCACTCTTGGACACCCCCCTCCTGGCCGCTCCCGAAAATTGGCCAGAATCACTGAACCAGGCCTGCCGTAGTGGGTGTTTTTTTCGGGTAGCGGCATGTCCGGTTAGTGGAACGGGCGGGGGGGGTGCGTCCCCCATAGGGCGACGAGATCTATGCATATCCACTGCTCCTGGCCAGGCCAATCCTGGGCCCAAGAGCTGTGTATACGCCCTCCTGGCTTGGCCAGGGAGGCATATACACCGCTCCTGGGCCCAGGATGGGCCTGGCCAGGAGCAGTGGATATGCATAGATATCGTCGCCCTACCCCAGTACACATCACTGAACCAGGTCCCACTCAACCCAGTTCTGCCAACGCCCGACTGAGTGCCTTCCGCCCTCTCCTGTCCTTCGCGGCCGCCCTGTCTGCCGCGCCTGCGCGCACGCAGCAGCGCGCATGCTTCCACGCGGCCCTGGACAGACGCTGAGGTTGCCAAGTCCCAGGAGAGGTGTATCTGCGTAGTTGTTCTCCTCCCACGTCTAGCTCCCCCCTCCTGCACGCCGGCCAATTCGCGCATCGGTTGCCCCGAATCGCCGCTCAGTGCAAGTCTGCCGCGCCGCGGACGTCAAAAAGCGCCTTGGGCCTCTGGGGGTGCCGCTCGGCCACACGGCCGAGCTGACTCGAAGGCCTGGCCAGGAGAGGGCCCCCGCAGGGGGTGGGGATCAGCCTTGGGGCTCCTTCTATTCGATTCCATTTCACTCGATTCCGATTGGGTTCGACTTCGGATTCCGATTCGAATTTCCGTTTCTCGATGAAGGCCTTAGCAGCCTGCCGATTTTTGTTGGTCCGATTCGATTCATTTCGGTCGCCGATCCGCCCTATCGATTCGCATTCGGATTCTCTGGAGCCTGAGGAAGCGCGCCGCCTGAACGGATTGGACGTCTCCCTTCAAATTGCTTCGCCCAGAAAAGATGCAGCCCCTGGGAACCTACGACCTGAGCTGGTCCGACGAGGCCCTTCCGTCGCCACGAGGCAAGCGGGCCCTCACGGAAACGGGCCGTGAGGTCACTTCCCGTTCTCGGTTGGCGATTTGGGTCATAAAGCGACCGGGACGAAGAGTTGGTGTTGTGGGAAGGCTTTGGGTTCCAGGACCCGTTTCCTTCACCTGCGTGCGGCGCCGCATCGCCGGTGCGGCAGAGTCTGGAGCCCGATCTTCTCGATCCCGACGCATCGCCGACGCATCGCCGATGCGTCGCCGATGCGGTGCGATCGCTCGATCCCATCTGCTCTGGCGCCGTCCGGGCGATTTGCGGTCTCGATCTCGGCGGCTTGGGCAGGGTTCCTTGTTTTTGGTCGTGCCGAGCGTGATTCGCCCAGCGGCCAGAGCCGTCTGCCCCAGAGCGCCCGCTGTCTCTTTGGAACAGCAACCGGTGGTAAGTCGGGCATGTCCCTCTACAGGAGGAATACTCAAGAATAGTAAAAGATAGTCTGGGGACACTTCCTGTGCTCTCTTCATTTTCTCCCCATTATTCTGGACGCCCGAGATGGGCACGGAAAGAATGGGTACGATGCCCAACAGCAGTTCCTGTTCGTTCTGAACAGGGTTCGCTGTTCACGCCGCCGCGGCCTGTGTCCATTCGAGACAGAAGGCCGCCTGCCCAACAGCGGCCGTTGTTGGTTTGGGACAACATTTGTTGTTGGGCATTGTGCCCATTCTTTCGGTACCCATTTCGGGTGTCCAAAATTATGTTTGTACATGTTCCACTTGTCTTCCAGAACCCGCCTGTAGGAGGACATGCCCGACCTCAGACTGGTGTCAGGCGTCGTCCCACCAGTGCAGTGTCCAATTCGATCCGATTCGATGCCGATTCCGTACTTCCCGGTCTGGTCGTAAGTCGGGCATGCCCCTCTACAGGAGGAGCATTCGAGAATATCGAAAGATAGTCTGGGGGCGATATTCTAGCATTTGTTATACAATTTGTTTTTACATATTCGAAGCCCGCCTGTAGGAGGACATGCCCGACCTAAGTCTGGTCCGATTTGATGCCGACGGCCCGACGAGGCGGTGCGGTGCGGCCCGGGGCTCGCACGGGCGCTGCCGCGCCTCCCGGCGCTGCTGGGCGTGCCCGCTCGATCTCCAGAGAGGGTCGGGTCGGGCGAAAGGGGGGGATTGGGAAGGGTGGGGTTACGAAGTCTGCTGCATGCAGCTGGTTTCGGCCCCGCCGTCGGGCCCATTCCTCGATACATGGGCGCCTCCCGGCGCCGGGAGGCGCCGGGAAAATCAGCTACGTGAGCTGATTCTCAAACCCCCCCTTTGCTATCCCCCCCTTTCGCCCGACCCGAGAGGGGGGGGGATTTCTGGCGCGAGGGCCGCGGAGAAGGCCAGAACGGGCGTCGCCCTTCGCGCGCCACGGGCGCAAAAGCTCGGGCGATCTGAGAATCACCGTGAAGCCGGGCGTGTCCCTCTGCAGGAGGAGTATGCGAGAACAGGCAATGAACAGTCTGGGGACGATGTTTGACTGTGTTTGAGAATTTTTACTTTCAAGTTTCCGTTCAGAATCCGCCTGTAGGAGGACATAACCGACCTAAAATTACAGTGAGGGCCCATGCCAAAGAGCACACTGCTTGCCTCCAGGGTGCCCTGGGCTTCTTGAGTCTCGACTGTTCTGCTCGATGGAAAGCGTGACGCTCCCACACCCAAAATCCCAGGACGCCCTCTGGGGTCTCAGGGTGTCGGGTTTCGTGTGGAAGGTTTCTTGTGGCCGGGCCCTTGCTGTATACCGCAGGGGGAGCGTCAGGGGGCTACGACAGGGGGGCCTGGCCCAGGGTGGGAAGCATTGATCCCCAATCATCCACGCATCGCGACAGGGGCCCGATGGCCGACTCCGCCCAGGAGCGTGCGGATTCGCTATCTGGGGCTTATCGTTAATTCGGGCATGTCCCTCTGCAGGAGGATTACGCAAAGTAGTAGAACATAGTCAGGGGACTTGTTTCCACTATGTTGTTCTATATTTGGATATGATTTGATTAGTTTTAATTTATCGTCCAAAGTTCGCGTGTAGGAGGACATGCCCGACCTAAGCCGATCGCCGATCTACCAGGCCGATGCATCGCCGATTCCAGGCCGATGCTTCTCGAGCCAGGCCCCCCGTATCGTTCCCCCCCTGTCATGCCGAGGCCTGCGCACCTGCACCTGGCAGCAGGGGGAGTTCGAAGAATCTGATTCAGTCGGGCCTGTCCCTCTACAGGAGGAGTATTCTAAAATAGTAAGTAGTCTGGGGACGATGATTCGACGATTTTTGAAATCTTGGGAGTAGTTTAGAACTATGTTTAATTTCCTGTAGGAGGACATGCCCAACCTAAGAATAGTACTTTGCAACCTTCGGAACTCCGCGCTGATGTCTTTTGGATCGGCGTTGGGCCCCCCTGGCGGCGCCAGGGGGGGCGGTGGCGGCGCCAGAGGCGCCGCCAGGGGGGGGGGTAGCTTTAAGTCGGGCGTGTCTCTACAGGAGGAATATTGTATGGGGACGATGCTTCGACGTGTTGAAACTATTGTTGAACATGGTTTGATTAATCATGTCTTATTCGTCGTCCCAAATCCGCCATGCCCGACCTAAGTCTAGCTCCGATCTAAGTAGGACATCCGCTGGGGCCTCCCACAGCTGATTTGATGGCGAGCGTCCATTTTCTACAGTGGAGACCCGCGCCAAGAAACACCCTGCTCGCCTCCATGGTGCCCTTGGTTTCTTGGGTCTCGATGGTTTTGCCAGGGAGAGCGTGACGTTCCCTCACCCAGAGGCAATGGACGTCCTGGGGTCGCAGGGTTGGGTTTCGTGTGGAAGGTTTCTTGTGGCCTTGCCTCCACTGCAGTCAAGGTCGGCATACCTCACCTGAGACCGGAGATAGGGCGATGTATGACGCTTCAATGGCCTTACCCTGCGGCAGGTGGCTGTACGATTGTGGCTCATGTTCGGAGACGGCCAGAAATTTCCCAGGACCCCCCGATGGAGGGGAATGGTGAACGGGAAGCGGGAAAGAGTGGGTAGGTAGGAGAGGGAGGGATGCAGGACAAGTGATGAGGAGTACAGAATGTGGCGATGGTACCTACTTGTTCCACACGCGCACAAACACACACTTTCTCGTTGTTGTTCTCTATCTCTCTCTCGCTCTCTCTTTCCCTCTCCCTCTCTCCCCTTCACCCTATATCATGTTTGTTGGATTATATATCGCTCTCTCTCTCTCTCTTTCTCTCTGTTTCTCTCGCTATGTGTTATCTCTCTCTTTCTCTCTCTCTCTCTCTCTCTCTCTCTCTCCGTCTCTTTCGATCTGCCTATCTGGCAACTGTGTGTCTGTGTCACCATCCTTTCCCTACTAGGTTCCTCCCAAGAGGCTCCCAAGACTTCTATACATTTTTCTTTGCTCTATCTCCTGCAGGAGTATTGACTCATCATGCTCCTCCCCTGGAGTTAATCGTCATCTCCCCTAGCAAGCATGTTGTCTTCTCTTCGGTCTCAAGCCCAATACTGTAATACGTCATTCCGTTCTCTAATCCATCGTCCATTTCTTCCTCAAACCGAGACTGGGGAGCTGATTGCGACATTATTACCTAACAGCGAAGACTGATAGGTTTCTAGTGGGATCAAAAGAGAGCAGCAGATCACTCCACAGGGGGGTCCGGGCAGGTGTTGGGAGTTGCCGGGCGGCAGGTGCCGGGCTCGTTTTTCTGCAACAGTCACACACTTCGTGCTCTTCGAGATCCCAGAACGCCATTCCCGGGCCACATTTAGAATAACCGGATGCAACAGTCACACACTTCGTGCTCTTCGAGTTCCCAGAACTCCATTCCCGGGCCACATTCTGGAGGGCCGGATGCAACAGTCACACACTTCGTGCTCTTCGAGTTCCCAGAACTCCATTCCCGGGCCACATTTTGGATGCCCGGAGCCAACTGTAGGCCACTTCGTGCTCTTCGAGTTCCCAGAACTCCATTCCCGGGCCACATTTTGAATGCCCGGAGCCAACTGTGTAGGCCACTTCGTGCTCTTCGAGTTCCCAGAACTCCATTCCCGGGCCACATTTTGAATGCCCGTAGCCAACTGTAGGCAACTTCGTGCTCTTCGACTTCCCAGAACTCCCATTCCTGGGCCACAAGTTTCAGCAGGGGCAAGAGCACGACGAGGAGGAGGACGAGCAAGACCAGGAGGACGAGGACGAGCAGGAGCAGGACGAGGAGCAGGAGGAGCAGGAGAAGAAAGGACGAGCAGGAGGAGGAGGAGGACGAGCAGGAGGAGGAGGACGACCAGGAGGAGGAGGACGACCAGGAAGAGGAGGAGGAGGAGGAGGGGAGGGGGAGGAGTACCAGGAGGAGGAGGAGGAGGAGGAGGAGGAGGAGGAGGAGGAGGAGGAGGAGGAGGAGGAGGAGGACGAGGACGAGGAGGAGGAGGAGGAGGGGGGGAGAGTACCAGGAGGAGGAGAACGAGGACCACCAGGAGGAGGAGGAGGAGGAGGAGGAGGAGGAGGAGGAGGAGAGAACACCAGGAGGAGGAGGACGAGCAAGACGAGGAGGACGAGAACGAGGACGACCAGGAAGAGGAGGAGGAGGAGGAGGAGGGGAGGGGGAGGACTACCAGGAGGAGGAGGAGGAGGAGGAGGAGGAGGAGGAAGAGGAGGAGGAGGACGAGGAGGAGGAGGAGGAGGGAGGACGAGGAGGAGGAGGGGGGGGGAGAGCACCAGGAGGAGGAGAACGAGGACCACCAGGAGGAGGAGGAGGAGGAGGAGGAGGAGAGGAGGCACCAGGAGGAGGAGGACGAGCAAGACGAGGAGGACGAGAACGAGGACGAGCAGGAGGAAGAGGAGGAGGAGGAGGAGGAGGAGGAGGAGGAGGAGGAGGAGGAGGAGCAGGAGAAAGAGGAGGAGGAGGAGGAGGCAGGCTGAGGCTGAGGCTGTGACTGCGACTGCCGTTGCCGCTGCGACTGTCATCGCGAATGCGACTACGACTGCGAGAACAGCAGAATTCGACAACTGGATTTTCATCTGAATCTTAAGGGGAATGCTTTCAGATATGCTTCTACACATCGCTGTTAGGTTGCTTTGCCGGGATAATTTTTATTGCGAAAGCCTTCCGGTTGGCGCCGCCGACCTTGAAGGAGGACGACGTCGGCGGCGGCGGCGACGACGACGACGACGTTGACGTAGGTTAGAGTCTTCAGGGATGCGTCTTGGGGTCTTTTGGGAGCGCTCTCATGTGGGACAGTTTTGGGGTCTCTTGGGAGCCACTTGGGGGCCTCTCGGGAGCCTCTCGTGGGCCTCGTGGTGCCTCCAGGGGGCATCTTGGGGGCCTCTTGGGAGCCTCTTGGGGCCTCCTGGGAGTCTTTCGGAGCCGAGGGCTCGAACTGTATGTTCTGGTCCCTCGTCTGGGCTCCCCCTTGGACCCGTCTTGGCGCCTCTTGCTGCCGTCTTGGAGGCTTCTTGCGTCGTCTTGGGGCCCTCATGGGTAGTTTTAGGCCCTCTGGGAGGCCTCTGGGGCCGTGTTGGGGCGATCTTGGGGGCCGCTTTGGCCGTCTTGGAGCGTCGGGGAGCCGAAAAGGCGAAAACGCCCAAATCTGTCAAACACCAAATGGAAATCAATGAAGTTTGGCTCCTAGGGCCCTAGTGGGAGCACTCTTGGAGGTCATTGGGGCGTCTTGGAGACCTCTTGGGCCATCTGGAGACTATCTTGGGAGTCTTGGACCGATCGTTTGACGACGCGGGGCCCACTTGAATCGTCTTGGGGGCCTCTTGGGGCACGCTTTGTCCGTCTTGGGGCCTCCTTGGGCTCCGGGACCTCCCATGGGGGATGGTATTTTGACCCGGGACCCCGCCTGGTCTGACCCTGGAGCTCTCCCCAGGACCCTCCCCTCCCCCCACAGAGGAAAGGATCAAAGGGAAGGAACTTCTCTTCGACTGAGTTTCGACGCTGCTCAATTTCGCTTTGGCTGGCGCGCTTGAGGAGGAGGACGACGACGACGACACGACGACGACCCTCTCGCACACGCCGACAGGGTCGGCGGATTTCGGCCCTCCTCATATTGATTTTAGTCCTCCTCCTCCTCCTCCTCCCAAGATCAATACTGCCGAGCCCTCACAAAAACACAGGAAGTATGATGTGGAAGAGGAGGAGGTGGAAGGGGTGGGGGCAGCGCAAGGAGGAGGAGGAGGAGGAGGAGGAGGAGGCGGGAAGGGGATGGTGTGAGGAAGGAAGGGGGTAGGGGGGGGAGGGGGAGGAGGAGGAGGAGGAGGAGGAGGAGGAGGAGGAGGAGGAGGAGGAGGAGGAGGAGGAGGAGGAGGACGAGGAGGCGGGGGATGAGGAGGAGGAGGAGCAGGAGGGGGAGCAGGGGTGATGGAGGCCGCGGCAGAGGCTTGTGCGTCAAGCCTCGGGCGCCCTCCGGCAGCGCCCCTGCGCCAGCCCTGGCTCTCACGCTCCAGCCCCCCCCCGTGCGGTGGATCGTTTGTGCGATTTGACCAAGCGGCTTTCCGCGCGCGTGACGGCTCTCAGGGGTCTGGGGATACAACGCATCACATCTTAAGATATCCGTCGCAAACCCTCCTTTCCCTTTCTTCTCCCTCCTCCCTCCATTCTACCACCCTCCGCCCCCTCTCCCTCTCGTTATTTCTTAAGTACTGCTACAAAAAGCAACGCAAACGTAATGCACGTGCAACGCAATGTAAGCGCATGCGCAATCCCTCGCGCGCAGTAAGTTGAGCGTTGCCGCGGGGAGTCGGCGGACTAGCTGGGGCCTCCCAGCACGAACAAAGATGCAACCCACACAGATTTTCAAGTACGCACATCACGAATACATGTAACATCATGAGCGGAGGAAAAAGAAGCGTTGCAAGCCACGGGCATCAGCTAGTACTTCTGGCGCTTAGCTGGGCCAGCGGAGGAAGTGCGCGTACGCTTGTTCCTCTTCGGGGCGTCGCGCCACTCCTCGAACTTAACCGGCTTGTCTGGTCTGGTCTTGTCAAGTCTAGTTTGGTCTGGGCTGGTTTGGTGTGTCTGGTCTGGTGACACGTCTGATCTGCGTGCAACGTGAAACAGACAGGAAGGATTTTGCAGCTCAGTGCAAGCGACGACGACAACGGCAACGACAAGGACGACGACAGGGAGTCCCCCCAGGGACGACGACAAGGAGGCCAAACGACGACGATAGCGACAAAGACAACGACGACGAAAGGCCCCCAGGGCTCTCACCCCGTGTCCCTCAACCTCCTACTCTCTCCCCATCTCAATTTCCTTCTCCAGTTCGATGTCTCGCTCGCCAGCTCCTACCTTCTAACTTCGTTTTTTCCCCCGCCCGCCCCTTCCTGGAAAACGGAGGAGGAAGGAGGGGGGGACGGAGGAAGATATTCTGAGAAACGAGAGCGACGGACGCCACCAATTGTATTTTTTATAGTAAAGGCCAAAGAGAACCACATACAGCACGTAGTGCAACAAACATCCCAAACCGAAATCCGCGATTCGAGGCGTCAAAAAATGGATGCGCATGTTTCACGCGCTGGGGGTTTTCAAATATCAAAACCTGATGATCAAGGCAGAAAGACATGCAAACACATGAATACTTCGATACGCGCAAGTGCCAATGCAACGTATATAAAGGATGCGCGTTAGGCAGAGCTTTCCCCCAGTCCACATTATAAGCTGAAAGCGCAACCAAATCGCGCGAAAGGCGCGAAATCCTCGGGAATAGGAAAAACTTGTTGGTAATTTGAAGCCATTATCAATGGGCGTAGCCGATAAGCGAAAACGCAGATGCATACGTTGCACACTCGCGGCATGGCCACTGTTGGGAGCGCAGGCAGACAACGACGAAGGCGATCACGGGGGCATCCAAAAACGGATGCCCCTGCTAGCTCGTCGAAGCTTCCTCTTCCAACCGATAACAAACAGCTCGCATTAAGCAGAACCGCGGAGGGCCAACACCACGCGTTGAGCGAAAGCGCGGGGCACGCAAACAGC